TTATTTTATTGACTTAACCTGTCACACTGACCTCGTTTCATGTTTTGTGCAATACAGATATTGGTTGCCACCTTTCTCATTGGCACCCACAGTAATAGATGCTTAAGCAATTTAGATTTTTAATATCGTGTACACCAGTTAACTGAAATGTAGCGATGCCATCTGCCACCATCCAAGTCGGCATTCCTGGAGAAATTAGAGCACTTCTCCATCACTGTGAGGTGGAAAGCATTGTGAACCAGCACTGTTCTGCATTACTTGGCACAGAGCACGAACTGTTTAATGTCTCAGTAAACTGTCAAAAACCACAATCTGGACACTAACATGTGATGAATGAATGGCACTGCTGCTGCTAGCTCTGCAAACGTCAGCCATTACATGTATGCATGGAACAAAGCAACCTTAAAATACACACAATGTTAACATGCTTGACTAGATTTAGACCGTTCAGTTAGTTTCACTACTTTAAGACTAATTTACAGAATATTCTCTATTACTACTGTGAGAAATACAACCCAACTTTGTCAGCTAAGGATTTTGTAGACTCATTAAAAAAAAGATTCATTTTAACTAAAGACCTAATTATTTTGGCACACTTTAACTGAAGACATAAGCTTAACGCATTTTATTTCTCATGATCTGCTAGTAGTAGTACTCCCCCTAATTTAAACCACAGATTCAACAGGCATGGAGCTGTAATGAACCGTCTCCTGCCCAAAATAGCAGCTCATTGTGTGCTATAGAACTGCTTTCACAGTTGAGGTCATGGTGATGCAGTTTTCCCCAGTAACAGAAACATTTGCAGTGCTCTCCTCCTCCTCCTGTCCACCTCCCCGCCCACTTCAAGAATCAAGCGCACCCCCACATAGCCGCCCCCCCCTCTCTAGCTGAGGATCTGGGTCTAGCATGGTATCGCAGTAACCATGGAGGGAAAAAAATACATCCATTTTAATCAGGCCAGGGTTGCCGCTGCTGATCTCGCTGTTGCCTAATTTGCGTGGCATCTTGTTCAAATAGGCTCACACGGTCTGTGTGTGTGTGTATGTTCGTTCAGGCCTGGTGAGAAGCTGAGAATGAGACAGTGGTGGTGGTGGGTGTATTGTGTGTGGAGTGTGTGTGCATTACAAGCACTTCTGATTCACCAGGTTTCCCCCAAAGGCCATTTTTCCACAGCAGGCTGGAATTCAAGGAATGCATCTCTTTCAATAACTAGGAGTCGTTTCATGATTAAATTTAATATTTTGTGCACAGGTTAATTTTATTTATATATCGCCAGCTCACAACCACCGTTTTATGGAGCCTTTTTATTATAAATCTCTACAATAGAGAGAGAACCCCAACCATCAAACAACTGATGGAAGGAGAAGCTCCCTTTAACAGGAAGAGAGCACCAGCAGAACCAGGCTCAGGGAGGGGCAGTCACCAGTGGAGGGCGTGAAGCACAGAAAATATTGCCATTTCTTTTCTTCTAATGTTAAACACACATTTAAAAAATAGATAAATAAAAATATAATTGGGGCCAAAAAGGAAATGCTAAAATTTCTTCAACAAGCACCAACCAAAGAAAATATAAACCAACCAAGTAGTGTCTTAAAGCTGCACTAATGGTCAGCAGGGGGCCACTGCTCTTACTGCAAAAAAATAAATAAAAATTAAAAAACAAAAACAAGACTATGGGGAAAAAAAGCCCTCACCTTACTTTGACCTCAGTTGACATTGAGCTCATGCACCAGTTGCAGCCTTAGAGTAAAGCACTAAGTTTATTTTCTAAATTCTGGTCAATATTAGAGCCAATAAGGAGAATTATGAGGGTAAGTCCACTGCCTTACTACTTGTCACTCAAATGGTTAACCAGTGATTGTGCTGCATCCACAATTTCAAAGAGCTTGCTGAAAGGATTATCTCTTGATTGGCCTGGGAATTCCTTAGAGATCTCCAGGAGGAAAGTGTTGCATGAAGGAAGGACTGGAAGAAAGTCTGGAAAACCCTGATGTTCCCACAACATGACTTCAGATAAGTGGATAAAACTGATCAAAACATACACATGGGGGTTTTTAGGCTTCTTAAAGGGACTGATACATTTATAAATTACTGAATTCTTAAAATAACTTTACAAAAATGCTCGACTACAATGTAGCCATTTTCACACAAAATTACTAGTTTGATTCAACTGTGCAATAACCCCTAAAGCACAGCATTTAATGATCTTCTTTATTATACATAATGGTGAATCTGGGTCTGTTGAGCAAACTAAAGATGTAACTGATCAGTGCAAGTTCAAAAGCCAATGAAAGCATCAATATTCACGTCCCCCACATGTTTAAATGTTAATTGCGAGATTGACTATGTTATGTTGTTATTAGCTGTTAATAGCTTATGTGTGTGCTTCTGATTAGCTTACCACATTACTAGGACAAAGTTTGGGGTTTGGGCAGGTTTCAGACAAGTTTTAGGCCTTTGGAAATGAATCATTTAGGGGTTCCTCCCCGATTCCTAAACTTTGCTTGTAAATGACTAAACTTAGCATTTTGCTAGTAATGCCATAGTTGCTGAAAACTTTAAAAGCATCCTGAAACCTGTAACCAGATATTGTGTGTTGACAAGGCTTAGGAAAATCTCCAGTATTGGCTGCAACATTGTGCTAAAACTAAGCTATCCACAGTGCACAATTATGAGAGAAGAAACTAATCACTGACAGTACTCACATATACCGACATGTGGACCAGGTCCAGAGTCATGTATGCACCTCAGTTTAGACCAATATGGATGGATGCATGAAACAAACTCTAGCAATACTGAAGCACTTTTTATAATAACCTACTTTCAGCTGCTCCGTTATTCCCAAAACAATCCCAAAGGACTTCAGTCTTCTCTCAAGATCAAGTTGGTAATCTTTCTTTTGTTAGGGGCGATCATGGCTCAAGAGTTGGCCGTTCGTCTTGTAATCGGAAGGTTGCCGGTTTGAGCCCCAGCTCGGACAGTCTCAGTCGTTGTGCGAGTTGTGTGAGATAATATCTTGCCCAGTATTATATTGGGCAAGACACTTCACCTGTTGCCTACTGGTGGTGGTCAGAGGGCCTGGTGGCGCCAGTGTCCGGCAGCCAGGGCACCAGTGTGTGAATGGGTGAATGACTGAATGTAGTGTAAAGCGCTTTGGGGTCCTTAGGGACTAAGTAAAGTGCTATACAAATACAGGCCATTTAGCATTTTGTTAGGCAAATGTGATAACCATTAGACTATGAAGTCATCGTAATCAAGGGAAAAAAAGACAAGATATGTTCTGGATTTTGCATTTTGAGGCTTCATCACAGCTGCTGCCATGCTACACTGATGACACTAGAATATTACTTAAACATTAACAAACCTCCAAAAAAAAAAAAAAATCACACAGCAAGCCATGTTATTTGGCAGCCAATTCCGTTAAAAATGCTCCAAGCAGCATAAGTTCAGTGGCTCTAATTAGATGAAGTGAGGCCCTGTAACAGACAATCTGTTACAAAAGCCTGTGTTGGGACACCTGATAAATGAGTTATTAAAAGTATAATGAAAAATAAATAAATCACCTTCTCTAGCAGTTATTAAAGGGGGGAAATCCACCAATAGAGATCAAAATCAATATGCTTAATTCCTCAACGTTTTGGCACTTCATATTTTCAGTCACAGATGTTGCCAAAAAATGGATGCGTTTACTATTTATGGAAATCCATATATAAATTCTAGAGGTCCCTCTACATCTACGCATCAATCTTTACATTGATACAGAGTTTAGATTAGAGAGGATCGATGTATGACTATGGTTCTGAGGTAATTAAATGCAGTTAAGCTCATTCTAATTAGCCCCTTGTCTGTATCCATATATGTAAAAGTATCCATATGATACAATGTTTAAAAAAATATAATTTAGCAGGTGCACCACAGAATTTAAGTGAGGGGTTTGTCTGACAAACAAATATTTCTCCCAAAAAAGTTGCTCATATATTTGAGTGTATACAGCCCAGTTGTGCTTAAGTAGTCCACCTCCACATGCCCATTTCTGAACCCGAAACAAACAAAAGCCCTGCAACTTTTTAACTTTTGATTATCGCTATGCTCTGAACTTGTAACCGACACTCCGTGATATTTTCTGTTAATCTGCAGACCAGAGCGCTTTCTCCATTCCACAACCATGAAATCATCAACAGCTGCAACCCCAGTGCGCACAGCTCTACAAGTACCACCAGCTGCTAACGGCTCGAGCTTGGCCACTTTGCTCTTAATTGGGCCTTCACTGGGATCCCCTGCAGTACGTAATTTGCGCCCCCCCCCAAAAAAAAAAAAAAAAAAAAAAAAAAAAAAAAAAAAAAAAATCCGTCAACTGCTGATACCCCTTTCCCTAAACTGCGGGGCTGCTTACTACCCTTATTTGTGGCTTTTCTCTCCGTGTTAACGCACTGTGTCCACCCTTTTCAGCCTACCCACCCCCTTTCCCCAGTCCGCTTCCACTTTATGAATAAATAAATAAATTACGAAGCTCGATGGGGGTGGAGATGACAGGAGAAAATCCCAACAGTCTAAGTAAAGGAGAAATCAGGACGACAAGGGTTTACAATTTGAATGGCTGCGGGTCTTCAGGGCTAAATTAAATGACCGTGGGGCTAATTGGCCATCAACGAGCAGCGCTGAACCCAACGGGGCCACCCCCCTTCATGTAGTTTCCAATAATAAATAGAGCTAAAATATTGCAGATTCAGATTCATTTAAAGCGCGTATTTCTCATTTTGTTCCCTTAAGAAAGACGCAGTTTGAGAGCTTTCCTCGATTAGAAGCGGCAGGGGTTGAGTGGCCCAAGGTGCAGCCAAGCACGGGCTTTTCTTCAAGGAGCAGCCAAGACAGGTGTGCAGCTCCGTTTAAGGTTAGCTAACCTCACCGCACAGGGTGCGCGGTTCGCCGCTACGGTGACTCCAAATGCGCGCGCGCACACACACGCACACACACAAAAGAAATGGTGGCTCGGGACTTACCGTAAACGTTAACGAAGCGCTGGAGACATATTAGCATCGGCAGCAGAAGGATCCCCTGTGTGGACGTGACCATCTCTGGCAGTGCGAAAAAAAAAAAAAAAACCGTGCAGCTGCTAGCTGGGCTACCTCAACACTGCCCGTCTTCCCTGTCGCGCGCTGGCCTGCTTTGCTCTCTGATTTTGCCGGTTCACACGCAAGCCACACATGCGCACACAAAGAATAAGTAGAGTAGAGCAGAAGGGCCGCTTTTGCCTGCTGACGCCACACAGACCTGAGTCCGGCCGAGGGGAGAGGAGCACTGAGAATAAGACACGGAGGCGTCCGCGCGCACACCACGCGTCTTTTGATCTCCTTCTACAACCGCGAGCCGTGCGGGCTCGCGTCCTGTCCTATCAAGGCTAAATCCATTTCCCCAAATTGACGGTAACGAGCGGAGACCGGTCAGGTCGTTAGGTATTGGTGCCACAGCTGAGGAGGATTTTTTTTTCCTCCTTCAATACGTCTTCGGCACATTGTTAACCCTTCGCTACCCGCATGAAGTAATAAAACAATAAAGCACATTTTATATGGCAGGAAACACTTCAAAGAAACTGGTAACTGTGTATCATAACACAGCAGTTCTATCTTAAATCAAAGATAAATTAAGACACAGTTGGCTCCTTCAATATCCATTATGAATATATTTTTGCATATACTTCAAACATAAGGGCAGTAACTATGACTGCGATACTTATATACAGCAAACGTGCTGTATATAAGCTTTGTTTTCACACTTAAAGAGGTAAAATTATTATTGTTATTATTATTAATGGTAAGTGCTATCTGTGAAACGCATAATCAAAATTGCACATCCTCATTGGTGTGACATGACATAGGTGGGTGGGGCTAGCATCAAACATGAAGAAACTATAGGCTGAGATGTCATCAGCCTGAGTAGTGTCTGTCATGTGGCGTATCAAAGATAAAGGGCAAACCACTTATGGAAACATGAGTTTGATCTACTCCTGCAAGAAAAGCAGTAAAAAATAAATAAATAAAATTAATGTGAGGTTATGTGTCTGTTTATGAATTTGATTTTAGAAGATTGGGCATGTGTTAAATGGTCTTGTACTAGAATAGAATATGTTATGTTTATGTTCTGTATTCTCTAGATCAGGGATGTCAAACTGTTGGGCACATACTTTTATCTTTAATGGACTACAACAATGGAGCTCCACTTCTTAGTTTAACTACACATTCAATCTCTGAGATGTCCTAATATTAGAAGAAGTAGTGCAGTTTCATCTCAGTTTTTTTCCGTGATTACAAAATTATGGAAAAAGGTCTGATAGCTCATTGGCCAGGCTATTCTGTCAATATTAAACAGAAGGTTTTTTGGTAATTTGAATAATATCTGTAGTAGATAGTCAAAAAGCATGAATGTACTTTGGTGTCGTATGAAGTGCCATGGTGGTCTTCATCATTAAGAAAATCTATTTAAAAATTTCGTTTTCCAAAGCCATCCAGGGGAGCCAGATTACTGTCTTTGTTGAGACAATTCCCTTGTGCCTTATGTTTGACACTCCTGGTCCAGATTACTGGCTCCAATATGTTGCACAGACTCTAAATCAACAAGTTAATGTTCATGCGCCAGCCGAATTCTGTGAGAAAGATATTGCTAATTCCACACCACACCTTGCTAATTTGGAGGATGGGTGGTCACAAGTAGTGCATCTGTTTTTTGTTTTTTTTTATCCAGCCGTCCATCTTCTCCCACGTCACATGGCCAGCAGTCTAAACAGAAATTCCCAGACCTCCTTCTCCTCAGCCACCACCTCCAGCTCTTCTGGTGGGACCCTGAGGAGTTTACAACAAATCACATAATCTCTTATGTCTCAAGAGACATAATCTCCTGAGTGTTAGATAGACCTAACACTCAGACACGGCCAAAATGCATAGGAAGTTTTCGGGAAGCATCATTATAAGATCTGCTGAACCCTACTGTCTTTATTAGTCCACTAAAATCAGGTGGTTGTAGCTAATATAGTAATGCATTTGAAATCCTTTGCCTTCACCAGTGAGGGTGGCAACACTTTCCAGCTCACTCCACTGAAAAAGGAGTTGTTGGGATCATGAGAAAAGCAGCTTTATACTATTAATACTATTATAGATTAATTTTTAAACCTTCAACAATATCAAAGTACAAGGATAAAACAAATTGTGCTATACATGTCCTAAACCTAGACAAAAATGTGTCTTGTTTTTTTTGTGTTCTGTTTTTCATTTTCAGTCTGATTTCATTAAGTTACCAATCCTTTGGATTACCGATAGAGTTATAATACACCTTTTTAGTGGAAAAGTCACAGCGCTCAGTTAAAGAAGCAATGGAAGATTTTTTCAGCTACCAACCCTCACGCGCCGCTGTTGTTTCTCAGTTTAATAGTGCACTTGCACTGCAAAACAAACACAAAAGATCATAAAAGGACTCCAAAGACACATAAAAGGCTCTATTCGTCTGATAGAGACTTAAAATAATGACAAAGAGACAAAAAAGAAAAGCAAAACAACTCCTCCCTAAAAATCTAAATGACTACATAGAGACATTAAGTAACTATAAACACAGATAAAAGAAGCAATACAACTAATGACTGCAGTATATTACTTTCAGTCTATACCTTCACAGACATATTTCAGTCTTTCTTCTTCTAATTATCCTGATTAGAAGAAGAAAAAAAGACCTGGGCAATTTTTTTTAATGTATTGATAGGTTCACAAAACAGCAGCCTTGTATTGTGTTCAATATATTTTTCGACTTTATTACCAGTGCAATGAAGTCTGCGGGATATACTCGTGTCCTTTCAGTAAGAAATCACTGCACCATTTGTTTAACAGCGGCCCCTGTGGCCACATGTGGTAATTATAGAACAATGGCGCAAAAAAAAAAAAAAAAATCCCAGTATTTCTTTTCAGCTCTTCCTTGACTATTTTCAAAGAGGAAATAAGGCTTTATCTATAAAACGTGATACATTTGAAGATTATATAAGTACTGAATCCAAATACCCAAATAAGAAAAGCAGAAGTTATCCCATTTACACATTTTTATATGTGGAATGCCTGGAGATCAAATGTGTTATCATTTCAGCACAGAAAGACTGAAATCACCTAGCACCTCAAGAGCACCACGTGTTGGTTTCACTGCCAGTCATTTTGTAAGAGCATATGTCTCACTTTCCAAATACTGAATAACAAATTTCCGAGCCAAATTCAGCTGTAGGTTTTTTTCCTCTCTTAGTCTGAAACTATTTCCCCCCCATTTTGATCACCAGGCCTTTGGGATTTCCACAGGGCTGCGTGGTGCCAGGTTTTATAAATTCTCAGAGTTCTTATCACAGGATTGAACCTCATTCTTAGTGATGGCTTTTGGCTGCTGATACACCCCTAGGCTCACTCTGTCCCAGATTTTCACGTCCCCTAAAAACACACACACACACACACACACACACACACACACACACACATACAGAAACCACTGTATAATTCTGTAACAGGAAGTGCTTCTCTCTGATTGTGTCTTTCTTGTAGTGTCGTGTTCAGAATTTTTGGAAGGAATCTCAGGAGGAAAGTTTGTCTTTTAAAAAAGATTTACTTTGCTTTTGGCAGTTGAAATTACAAGTTTACACATTGCTGTAGACCTCTACGTGAACCAACAGCATGTTTCACAAAAAGGATGACACTCAAGTGGGCTGTACAACATTATATAGTGAGACAAAAACATAGATTATAGCGGCTATCTTCCTCCCGCACAGACGTGGCAGTCTTGGTGTCTGCTCCGAAGCATCCTCTTATTTCCGTGACTTCGTCTGGTATCTGCTTCCTCGTCTGTAAGAGACAGAAAAGCAAAACACCTCTCTGCCTAGCCTTGATAATCTAATGTTATTATCCATTGTTCTTCTAGTGATTCAAAGTTGGTTTAGAATATCATGTCCGGGACTCTCTGACCTAGAGAATTATTCTAATCACAATCTATGTGTGTAAGCATGTTTGCAGTTACCCCTCTGCACTCTAAGTCCTTTCCTACAATATATCAGTCCAGACAGTCACGCCGAACGAAGCTTATGACCTTCAGAAGACTGAGTGCCAACTTATTATGAGCACATTTGCAGTAAATGTATGAAAATGATTATAACCACTTATTTTGGTAAAAGAAATCAAACATTTTCAGTCCCAACAGCAGTCATCTCCAAACATCCACAGACTGATTACAGATCTAAAGGTTTAGAAATCTAGTCTGGTATGAGATACAACCTTCGAAGTAGTATTTTCCACTTGTAGAAAATGTTCAGAATTTATTTGCCAGGCTTGATGCTTATTTCTTAAAGTGAATCATTTTGAATGCTTATCAGACACAATAGCATTTCGCAACAGTTTACAATACTGCACAACACAATTTCACAACTCAGGATACAACAATCATCTTTCTTTTACTCTGCATAGTGCTGATTGGCAGGTTAGTTATAAAAAAAAAGCCCATTGCTATTGATCTTAATCTGCTGTAATGCCTGTTTCTATCTATTTGATTTGCCAGCTAGTGCAACTGTAGATAATTTTGCAGAAGACAATGGAAGGTGCACACTGGTATTTCTACTGTGTCAACATAATAGCTGCAGTAAAATAAATGTGAGTACTGTGTTTCTTGTGCAACCCTAACTTTAAAGGAGTATTATGACACTTTGGAAATGTTTTTTACACCAGTGTTGCATCTGTGCACCAAATGAAATGTAAAAAAAAAAAAAAGTTTTAGAGGGATTTACATGTTTCCAATCTTGGAGATTGATTTCCTGGAGAGGAAACCTCACAGTGACAGCAGGTTTTCTGTCACAAGAATAATCTTTATAATATTGTCTGAAATTACCCTCTATTTCTCTTACTTAAAGTACGCATTAAACTGAGATTACACACAGTTACTTATGTGTTATCGTCATCCGTTCCCTAACTGAGTAATGTTGCTGACCATGTCCATACTTTTATGACCACAGTGTGCCCATCCTCTGATGGTTGCTTCCAGCAGGATAACACACCATGTCGCAAAAGCTGGTTTCTTGAACATGAGTTCACTGTACTCAAATGGCCTCCACAGTCACCATATTTCAATCCAATAGCACACTTTTGGGATGTGGCAGAACCAGAGATCCACATCATGAATGTGACAAATCTGCAGTAACTGCGTGATGCTGTCATATCAAAATAAACCAAAATATCTGAGGAATGCTTCTAGCATCTTGTTGAATCTATGCCATGAATAATTAAGGGAGTTCTGAAAGCAAAATGAGGTCCAAATCAAATCCACGATGAGGATATGTCTGTGTCAAGCATCAGATAGCTTAGTAAGCTAAAATCACTTCCTGGTGGCCAAAAGAAATCAGTACACCCCAGCCATTTATACTGTGTAAAAAACCCCGCAGGTGAAAAAAATATGTCAGCATCAGTAAGATAACAAATGCTTTCTTTAGC